GATTATTCCATTATTTCATGCTGTTTATTGCTCACCGCTGTTCTTATCATTAACAGCATAAAGATTTACGTTATTATGTAAAAATGTTCTCCTAAATTGCATTAACACCATACCATTATAGAATCAACGTTTATTTGCTTACAATAGTTTCTGCTTATTTTGCGGTTCGGTTTGATGTTTATTAATATTAATTATATTTTGATGTTAATAATTAAGTTAATCTTGATGTTAATTGATATTAATTATATTTTGTTACGTCTGATATGACACCATTGTTTTTTACTGTTGATTTTAGTAAATCAGCGAAAAACAATTTTTAATATATTCCTGTTGCAACATCACATTTTGACGTGCTATTTTTGGTGTGCTCCTTTTGTCATTAATCTTAAACAAAATAATTCAGTAAATTTCACACCTGTGAAAGTCACGCCTCTCCATTGGTGGTTAGCAAAGTTTCTCATGTACACGAAGTCATATACATGAACTGCTAGAAACTGTCTGATTTGCTCTGAGCGTTGTTGGTTGACCGCAGTTTAGGTAGTTCACTAATTTTTTGAATATTGTTCTCCATCCATAATTAGTTTATCCGTTCATATGTTTCGCCATTTAAAACAGTTGTCCTATTTAAAACAATTTTCCTATTTAAGTCGTGTTATCTACGTTAAATAGAATTTAATAACTTTGGAACATTTTCAGTAGGAATTGATCTTGTTTCTAGATTAATTTTTTATAGCATCCGAAACTGAAACGAACTTTTTTTAGATGTCACTCGATCTTGTTCCTTACATAATTACATGGACAGATTAGATAGTGTTTAAGCGACTTCTTTAAACCAGCAGTTTAGAGATGCAAGTATTAATTCGCATAAATGTTTTTAGTAATGTGGGCAGCCGTTTGTGTATTATTAATGAGATGGTGGTCTGTAAATCAGTTAGTTGACCATAAATCGAATATGGTGATAAAGTGATAAATCAGTGATTTCACCGAATCGCTCGTCGCTTCAAGAGTTTTTTTGTGTTTTGTGTAAGTTTGTTTCGTGTTCCGTTAATTTGTTTAACTCTACATGCGATAATCGGTTGATATTTTGTTTTTAGCCGAAACAAGCATTTTACTTGGATGTTGTCTTTCTCTACATCACTGATGCTGTAGTATGATTTTAGTGGCATGTTGTTAACTTATTTGTGGCTGAAGAATGTATCTTCAAGCATGGATAAGATAAAGTCATGGAACCTTTGGCTTAAGTATTATCTCCACCGCTATTTGAGGTAAACATAGCATTGTTGGCAACAAATTTATTGTTGTTTTATGCAGGTTGACTCCGGTGTATATGATCGTTCTCGCATTTAACGCCGATACTTTGCGGTTCGTCACTGATGGGCCGATGTGGTCACAGAACGGCTTTGAGCCAAATTACTGTGCGAATTCATGGTGGACCAACGCGCTGTATATCAACAATTTTATTCACGACGAAGAAGTGAGGCAAACCCATGACTTATTGCCAATTACTTGCTTTTATTAAGTGCATGACATGGAGCTGGTACCTCGCTAATGATATGCAGTTCTACATGCTTGCTCCAATTATTCTATTATTGTTTATCAGGTTCGTGCCTACTCCGTCTTTCAATATGCTATTCAACGTGTTTGTATTGTTAGGTATACGGTACTTCCGATCGTTATCGTCATTGCGCTCATTCTTGCAAGCTGCTTCATTCGTGCATGGATTATTCTCAACAACGATTGGCCTCCTATCGCACTTTTCACAGTTGACAAGAAAGAGTTGGTTTCATTGTAACTGCATGTCATTGTTTCATTGCATCTCCTTTAGATTCGAAATCTTTGACTTGTTTTGGGATCAGGTGTACATCAAGCCTTACACTCGCTGTGCTCCATTTCTGATTGGCATTCTTGTTGGCTACTTCCTATGCAAGACAAAGATGTCAGTTCAAATACCCAAGGTCGGTTATATATCAAGCTCTGCACCAGTTGAGTTTGTGGCCGCTAACCTAGTCATGTAGGAAACTTTTGTATAACTATTAATCCACCTTTTAGAAACAGTTTCTTTAGATATTTATTGTTCCTCACTTATGTTTCTCATGTTGGACTGTTTCATTCCAACACTATCAAATTGCATAGGTCTGTGACTCAGAATTCCACTAACTTTAATTCCTGCTTCGTAACGTTATCATATTTCGTTACAGTGTTGTACAAGAGCGCTGTACGGTCCATTTGAAGCTGTTCTTTGCAGCCTGCTCCGAGCTGTCACTTCTCATTGTCAGTTTATGATAATCAGTTTATGACATGTATCTGCGTTTCTCCCGCGGTATTTTACTACCTGCAGTGCGTGCGTATAAAAACCTATCATTGAGCAAAGCTTAACATAAATCTGTTCAGACACTTACTCTAGGATCTTGAAAATCCAGAATTGACAAGAGAATATATTGATTAGTTTTCAATATCTTCCGTAGTAATACCAATCTACTGTCACTTCTCCGCATTTACACAACGCAGTCTAACCGTTTTCTTGTCCGTAGTTGCCTAAGGCATTTTAGCAGGTCTGGTTTCTATTTTATTTGAGCATTTAAAATGCATGGATGCAAAACCGCATCACGTACAGGGCGGAACAAAAATGTTTTAATGCCGGTTAATTTCTTTTGCTCTATCTTAAAGAAAGTGCCTTTTAGTGATGTCGACTTCTTTGAGCAGTTTCAGTCAACGAAGATTAATAATGGTAGCATTTCTGAACTAAATATTACAAGGGTAACAAAAGCAGGTCTTTGAAATTGCATTTTGCGGTAGATTTATCAGAGTTACAAAGTCTTTTGATATTTTTGCTATAATTCGTTTCATCTTTCATCAGAATATTTAGATGGAATTCAGTGCCAATTGGAAGATTTGGTTTTCTTGTAGGCCTTGGTCGCTTTTTGCTGGATTTTGAATACGGCATTGGGTCTTGTAATTGTTTTTGGATTATGTGACTACTCGAGAACTAATCAAATCAGTTTCGCCTGGAGATTGATCTACTCCGCGTTTGGCCGCACCGTGTGGTCTGTCGTCATTGCTTGGGTCACTTTTGCATGTGCCACTGGATACGGAGGCAAGGTTTCATCTGGTAGTGTTCTCGCTTGTTTCACTGGTTTTGTTTTTTAGGGCCAGTCAATACTTTCCTGTCATGGAAGGTATGGACGCCTTTGAGTCGTTTGGTTTACTCTGCCTACCTCATCCATCCAGTGCTGATTCGGAGTTATTATGCTTCACAGAACAGACCTATGCACTTCGGCGATCATTTTCAGATGGTAACAATTTCTATATGTTCCGTAGGAAATGAAGTACAGTCAGAATGGATGCTGGCTCTAGGTTAAGGCAAATGCAGCGATTCATCTTGCAATCGGCTGAGAGGGCGATATCGCGGTGGATAAATGGTTTATTCTGCTCTTTAAGGAGCCGCGTTCTAATCCCCTGCGCGGCGTAAATTTTTAATTTAGCAAGGAA